GGAGAAAGGTCAGCAGTTACAGGAGCTCTGAGTGGGACAGCCTTGGTGTGCGAGAAAGACTGGAAGTGGCTAGGATCTTGGGAGTGCAGGGCATGAGTCGGGAAGGCAAAGGTTGGGCTGAGTGGCGTGGGGCGTTGCAGGTAGACCGAGGACCAGCTTGGATGTTATTTAAAAAACACCTACTAATTTATCCTCCCTTGGCCAAAGAGAGCCTTTCATTCCAGTAAGCCTAAATAAATCAATAAAATAAATTTGAGAGTTTTGTCTATGTGAGGAAAGAAATAAACACGGGTATTATCCTGGTATTTTCCTTCTATTGTTCTTGGTTAATTAAGTAGTGGAAGAGACACACGTACTTACATCTGAAGTATAAGGTAAGAGTGAAATGATGAGAGAAATGTAGGTAAAGCCCTAAGCCAGCAAAAATTAATATTTTATGAATAGCTTCATGAGTTGTTTCCAAAGTAGTAGTACCAGGCGTCCCATGTATTCTCACAAGAGGTTTTGTGTTGATTTTTTTTGGGAGGGGGGCCAGTCTGTGGCAGGTAGAAGTGGGTGAAGGGGGCACACAGCTGGTTAAGGAGAAGTGGACACAGTAGTATTTGGTTTTCACACGTAGGCAGGTGCCTTGATGTGTGAGAGTAAATGATGCAGAAATCTTGATCTTCAGAACAAATATTTTCATGACCGCCTTCTCCCTCCCCCTTTTGAGGCAGTGTGTGTTTTCATGGCCATTCCTCTGGCACCTTTAGCCACAGCTCTCGGGAGGACATTGAGCTTTGAGGGCTGGTGCTTTCACATTAAGTTAGACACGCACACATTCTAGCTCACGGCCTTCCAGAGATGACTAACTCACTGAATGGCTGTAGACTGCCTGAGAACTGGTGTCACAGTTCACCCTCGGGGCTTCACGTGAGCTAGTAGGCATCCCATCCCTCTGCAGCCAGCCCTGTGCCACGGTCTTTCTTCCTCTCCCCGAGGTGGCACAATTGCCCGACAGGCAAAAGGTTGCAGCAGTGGAGGTCTGAAGCAAAATTAGATCAAAAAGTCTTCTTGTTTCCTGTACTAAAAGAAAAACACTTAAGAACGTTTGCTCTGTGGAGATTATAGAACAAGTGCAACTATTAACATGTATTTGGGTACTTTGCATGTACAAGGTCTTAGGTTTGATCCCAGTAATGCTGGAAAAAAAGGTATTTTTCCTACCTTTATTATTGATATACATTGGTTATACAGATTAATGGGTTTCATTTTGGAAGATTTGCATCACCTACAGCATACTTTAGTTATTCCCCCATCACCCTTCTCATCCCACCCCACCACAGTTTCAGGGTTTGAGGGGGTGTTTCAAAGCACATAATGTATTTTCATAAAAACATGATTTTGAAATGACCTCCTAATTGCAGCTAAAAGAAATAGAAATGGAAGCACTCTTTTTTTTCCAAATGAATAAAAGTTTGTTTCATTAAGAAATCACTTTGCTCAGCACTCGGGAGGCTGAGGCAGGAGAATCTCTCCAAGTTTGAGGCCAACCTGGGCTACATAGTGAGCTTAAGGCCAGCCTAAACTACACAGCAAGACCCTGTCTTTAAAAAACAAACAAACAAATAAACAAACCCACTTTGGTGTAGGAGTGCATATTTCTGAGATGTTTTCTGGTATGTAACCTGACTTGGCTACTGAGCAGGTGAACATTTTATATAGTCAGAGGTTGGTAGTTATATTGAAGGTATCATCTATTAATGGTGCGTTAGTCAGCTTTCCTTCGGTGTGACAGAATACCTAAGAAAAAGGAGGAAGGTTTTATTCTGGGTCATGATTGCAGAGGTTTAAGCCCTAGGTCAGTTGGTCATTGCTTTGGGCCTTAGGTGGGGCAGACTACCCTGAGGCCAGAGCACTGGCCGAGGAGGCTGCTCGCTGTGGAGGCAGGAAGCAGAGAGAGGGGGGACCCAGGAGAGAGGCCGGAAGATGCAGCCCCTCTGACGCTCCCTTCACTGGCACCACTTCCGAGCTTCCATCACCTCCCAGCACCACCTAGTTATGAATCCGTCAGGACTGAGGCACCTTCCGAAAGTCCCATCTGAACGTCCAGATGAGCCTTTTGAGGAACATTTTGGATACAGACCGTAACAAATGCAAGTGATCCTGATTTTTCATTTATTGTGGCTGTTTATAGTGCAGTCATTCAACTTTTTTATAGAGGACTGAGTAAATTTAAAGAAAATATTAATTAAACAGAAATACTAGTGGGCCACGAGTGTGACAAAAATTGTAGAGGTAGAATGTAAGTGAAGGGCATGGTAGAATAGCAGTAGCCTCACAGTGTGAGAACTCTGGTCTCTGTAGCAGCATCCGGGTGGAAAAGCATACACTTTGGGATTCAGTAGATGGCTTCAGCACTCCTGGCTCTGTGACTTTGGGCAAACTAGTTCATATCTTCCTTCTTCCACCCTCCAAACACTTACTGAAGGCCAACCACAGTTCTTTATCCAAGAGCTGGAGATGACACATCACAGAGTTGAGTTTTGTTTTGTTTCTGTAAGATCCAGTGCAAAAAGATAACACATGTCATATGATCAATATCTTTTGTGTAACAGGCATTATACCTGCCATGTAGTAAGTGCTTAGTAAACTTTAGTTGACTTCAGTTTCTTTTAGGACCTGTGGTTGCAGGTGACAGAAGGAAACCCAACTTCCAACTTGCTTGAGACTGAAGAGATTTGTTGTCGCATGTACTCAGACTGCATGCAGTAAAGTTATCAGTGACATATGCGTGGAAGACACCTAGAAACAAGGGCTCAGATGCCACCAAGACTCTTAACCTCCTGTCTCTCTTACCATCAGGTCTGGCCAGACTCTTCCACATATGTAGAAAAAGAACACTAGTGGTCCTCAGCTTGACCTCATCAGAATAGGACAGGCATTGTGATCTCGGTCCCAGAAATCTTAGAAAAGGAATTGAACCCGGCATGAGTCAGGTGCCCACCTGGCCAGCCACTGCTGTCTAGAGAACAGGACCTGAAGGAAAATGGCATTTGAGCCACAGTTGAGTTCATGTTTAGGCCCGGGGATTTAGCTCAGTGGTTACACCATCTGCCTTGCAAGCACAAGGACCCAAGTTCAATCCCCAGTACCAAAAAAAAAAAGTTAATGTTTAGAAAAAGACCACTTTCTAGAAAAGGACTAAAGGTGCCTGCTGCCTTGCATTTCCCCTGGAGCCCTCAATATGGTGACCTTCAGGGAAATGCTTAACCTCCAGGCTTCAGCTTTCTCATTGGAAGTTCTGGAGTTTACAATCTGTACTAACTTTAAGTGTAAATTCAGTGCCTTTGTAATTGTATGTCTAGGTGCTGGCGATGTAGCTCAGTGGTAGAGCACTTGCCTAGCGTGCATGAGGCTGTGGGTTTGATCCCCAGCACACCACACATACACACACACACACACGCGCGTCCGCAAGTTTATCATTATTACTTTTATTTATTTATTTTTGGTACCAGGGACTGAACTTGGGACCTTGTGCTTGTGAGGCAGGCGGCGGAACCACTGAGCTAAATTCCCGACCCTATTATTACTTTTATTGCTTATGCCATCTTGACATACCATCTCGGGGCTCCTAGCCTGTGGAAAGCAGAGATGAGCTTGAAGTTGTTTTAAAAAGTTGGTAGAGGGGTAGGGGAAAAGAAAGAAGGGCAAAGAAAAAATAGGAGAAAAGGAAAAAAGTGGAAACAAAGTCTTTGTAAATAGGGAAGGGTGGAGGGGCTAAAGGAAGGGCAGGGCAATGGGGAAAAAATAAGAACCAAGATATATCATGTAAAGGTACAAGATCCCAATGATGAATGTGACTATATTATATACTTAAAATGCACCAATAAACTAAATGGGAAAAAAAAAAGTTTGTAGGGCCGGGGATTTGGCTCAGTGGCACTGCGCCCGCCTTGCAAATGCAAGGTCCTGAGTTTGATCCCGGGTCGGGGGGAGGCTTCAGTATGCCATATCTACATATAGAGCATACCTCCTTTTAAACTTGGCCGTGAAGTGTCATATACATAGGAAAGAATACACATGTTAAGTGTACAGTTCAATGAATTTTAACACACTACATATAATTGTATTTCTACCACCTGGATTAAAAGTCAACAGCAGCTGTCCCACATGTAGATCAGGTAGCCTGATGCAGATGTGTTGGTTCTCATCAGTGATTCATTTAAAAGCATCACAAATGTCGTGTAGCATTTCCATACTGCATTCTTTTAGTAGACAGATTTTGGGGGTTATCAGGGATCGAACTCAGGACCTTGCTCTTGTGAGGCAGGAGCGGTGCCACTGAGCTAAATCCCTGGTTCTAGTAGACAGATTTTTAAAATATAACTGCCCCCAAAACCACCTGCATATGCCATAGTTAATTTTTTGTTTGTTTGTTTATCTATTTATTTTTGGTACTGGGGATCCAACTCGGGTCCTTGCACTTGCGCAGCAGGCAGCGAAACCACTGAGCTAAATCCCCAGCCCTGATAGTTAATTTTTTAACACTAAAATCCTCAGATTTAAAAGCACTGTGAAAAGATCATTCCTATTACACTTCCCTAAGTCCTTTTTGTTTGTATGAAATTACCACTAGATGTACTTTGTTCCCTGGGTATTGTGCCGTCATGTCTTATATTTGCTTTTATCCCTTATCAGATTATAACCTCATGAGGGAAAGAAATAATCTTAAGATTTCCTGTGTGCCTTGTAATTTTTCAGCATAGTAACTGACCAGCCACAAGGTACCATTTCCCCAACACTGAGCTTTGTGAGTGACTCTGCACTTATGCAGAAAGGATAGTTACGCCAAGCTGAGCATTTCTGGTCTCTGAGATGGCTCATTGTTCATAAATTTGTCAGTTTGCTGTTGCTTTGGAGCTCAGCAAAACAAATACAGGTATGAACCAGTTTTCTTTTTTTTTCACTAATGTACCAAATTTTCCAATATCCTTTTTCCTATATTTTTTCTCCTTTAGGCTCTAGACCAAGATAGAACAGCACTACAGAAAGTGAAGAAATCTGTAAAAGCAATATACAATTCTGGCCAAGGTAAGTGCTACCAAATCAGACTGTGCACAGTTTTCTCTATGAGACGTGCGTATGAAAGACTTGATGTAAGTGAAAAGGTAAGTAGGTTAAAGAAACTCAGCTTCTCTTTTTTTTCTCTGTCTCTATTGGCCCAAATTTGTCAGTTTTTCTACAGTTAAAAAAAAGTAGTTGAAGTATACTTTATTATACCTTGAACCGAGCAGAGTGAGAGGTGATTTTGTCATAGGAGACTTAAGACAAATCTCTGTGGTTTTCAGCCTATGATTTAATGGCTTCAGTAAAATACATGAGAATTTTTTCCCTTTTTTTGACAATACTAGTACTCAAACCCAGGGTCTTCACACACACACACACACACACACACACACACACACACACACACACGGTTTTGTTCAGTTCCCCAGGCTAGACTAAAACTTGGAATCCTCCTGCCTCAGCCCCCTAAGTGCCATGATTACACGTGTGCATCTCTGCTCCCAACCAGCCTTCTCCTTCTTCGCAAGTGTGCCTTTACATGAATCAGTATGGACCGTCACCCTGGCATGAAGGTTAGAAAGGGGACAAAGATGAGTTCAAACCCGGACCCTTGTCCGAGGGGATGCCGGGGAACTAGTGTGACCAAATATTTTAGCTTTGGTCTGGTGACTTTGTTGACTTGGAGTCAAAAGTATTTGATCATTGAATAAGAAACAAAGCACATTAAGAAAAGCAGTGGACACAAGAAATGGCAGGCTCCAGCACTGCAGGAAAGGAGACCCTTGGACACATACGATGAGGTTCAAGGTCTCTGACTTATGTTACTGTTTAAGTACTAGCTGGCCTGCCCAGGGGTCCCTTCCCTCATAAGTCAGCTGTCTGTAACCCCATAGAAAACTGGAGCAAGGGAAGCAGCCGACTATAATTTAAAGAGCACAGACTCTGAAGTTGGACAGATGTGGGTTTTCTTCCTTGCTAACTTCTTTATTTACACAAATGACTTTGAACTGGTTACTTCACTTTCTCGAACCTCTGTTTTTCTCATCTGTAAAATGGGGATGGCAGTATTACAAAGGTTGAAATGATTTAATATCTATAAAGGGCCTACCATTTTTAGAAGTTCAATAAATTCTGAGTCCTCTTAACTTTATTGTACAGTTACAGAGCTGAAAGGAACATGAATGGAATAGAACTCAACCCCTAGATACTTTATGGCCCTCTTTCCCTCTTCAAAACTGGGAACCACTTAACTAGGCAGGAACCTAGTAGCCTCTTGTCTTTAAAGCCCCATAGGCCTCAGGAGTTCTATAATAGTACCGAAGTTGTTAACACATTCTGCATCCTGGTGCCTGGATACCACTGCTTAGTTTCTTCATATGCAGAACAACACTAATGTCTAGTGTGGTGGCACACACCTATAATTTCAGCACCTGGGAGGCTGAGGCAGCAGTAGCATCTCCATGAGTTCAAGGCCAGCCTGAACTCTACATAGTGAGACTCTGTCTCAAAAAAACCAAGAATAATGATGATGATGAAGAAGATGAAGATGATGGTGGTGGTGGTGGTGTCTTATTAATTTAAATAAATATTGTTTGTCTACTTACATAGTGGCCAAATATTTAGTTTTGGCCTAAATGATATACCTAATTTATAACTCCTGTGCTTTGCTTCACTTTGAATGCATGAACTGCATGTTGGTGAGCCCTGCATAGATACTAGCTCTTTAGGGAGGGGATCGGGGTAAATAAATGGAAAGTGTCACAAGCAGAGTTGAGGGGCTAATATTACTGTGTTTCTTGATTTGAGTGGGAATTGCATGGTTAAATCCACTTTGTGATAATTCATTAAATGCTACACTTAGTATTGGCAAGTAAACAATAGTTTTAATAGAATACTGTATACCCTTTTATTTATTTATTTATTTATTTTTGCGATACCAGGGATCGAACTCAGGACCTTACACTTGCAAAGCAGGCACTAAGCTAAATCCCCAGCCCCTGTGTACCCTTTTAAAAAAAGAAGCTGAAGTAGTACATAAATCTCACTTTAAAGCCTAGCTTTCTCACACTCATTAGAGTAGTTAACTTCCATGAGTCTTAAATTTTCTCACCATAAAATTAATAATATCTAACTTGCCTGGCATTGTATAGGCGAAATGAGAGGACTTCTGAGGCCCCTGGCATACTACCTATCACATAATAGCTGCTTAACACATGGTAGGTGAGGCCGGGGATTTAGCTCAGTGGTTCGGGCGCCTGCCCCGCAAGCGCAAGGTCCTGAGTTCAATCCCCGCTACCAAAAACACATGGTAGGTGGGAAGCAAGGTAGCCAGATCCATAGCACCAGCGCTTTCTCTGTTGTAATTCATGGTTCTGTAGCTAGCGCGAGGGCTGTCCAAAGAGCCCAGTGAGACATTGCCTGGCTCAGGGATAACTGTCCGCTCTCCACATCACTGTGGCTCATGCTCAAGGCTCTTAGCTTGTAAGCCAAAGAAGAGAAGAGACCCTGCTGCTCAGCCCCGAGGTGCCACCACACTCACTGAGCTGGGCTAGGCTTCGTGTGAGCCTGCTCCAAGTGTCCTTGCTCAAGGTGCACATCTTTCCTTAGCCACAGGGCCGGGGCCGTGTCGCTCCACAGCTCACACAGAGGCTTTTTCTCAGGGATGTGGCTCACCTTGTGCCCTGGTCACAGCCACCCTGGAACGAGGAGAAGAAGTCTCCTGCGTGGTGTAAGCAGAGGGAGTGTTCAGGGGTCTCTGCAGAGCTGGTTATCACTTCCTCCACTAGACTACGGTCTCCCTGTGGATCGGGCCACAGCCACCCAAGTTCTGATCCCCTCCTGTACCGGAGGCCCTCCTTTCTTTCCCCCAGGTCTGTACTGTCCAGTAGAGAAGCTCTAGGCATATGTGGTTTTTATGACTTCAATTAATTGAAATAAAATAATATTTAAAGTTCCATTCCTTGGGCTCAGTAGCCACAGCTGACTAGTGGCCAGCGTACTGGACAGTCCAGACACAAAAGGTCCTCCGAAGTCCTGCGGACAGTGCCTCTGTAGGACAGCATGTGTCCGCCTGGGTTGTGACTGCTGACCAGCTCTCTCGCACTAGACCAACGATTCTTACCCCAGCCGTTCATTAGAATCACGAGAAGAACTCTTGAAAAACAGTCAGGGGCAGACACCTCTCAGGCCTGCACCCCTTGGCTTGTTCCAGAGTAAGACCAGATACGGAGATTTTAAAAGGTATCAGCCCATAAATGAGACTGACTTGCAGCTGGAATTGATCACTGCTGCACTGGCCTGTGAACACCTTGATGAGGGCTGGTACTGTCTTTCATCTTTGCATTTTGTGCATTTGTCACTATGGTGTGTTAATTCATCAGGTATTTCTTGACCATCTGTCATATACATCACTAATGTTCAGGTGGGGCATATATGGGAAAGATCAGTCAGAGCCTCTTAATTACAGTCCAGTGGGAGAGAGCAGTGTTTATCAGATCATCAAACTGGAGAGCAATTATAATTAGAAACGAGAAAGTGCTATAAAGGACAGCTTATAGGATATAAAAAAAGAAATAAAAGAGGGGTCCTATTTAGTATAGGAAGGTGCTAAGGAAATATCTCTAGAAAGATATGACATTCATTAAGTGCTTATGCTTTACCAGGCTGACCCAGACAAGCCTATGAGGTAAGCACACCTGTGCCCACTTTATAGATGAGGAACTGAAACTTAGCCAAAGCTGTCCAGGCTGCCATACCTGCAAGTAACAGAGGGAGAGCCTGTAGCAGATCCCAGCTTTGCTCCTGTGGCTACCCTGCACTTCTGCTTGGCACGTGGTGGGCATTCAACAAGTACATAATGAATTGCTGCACGTTGGCTGGAAGGAGGTCCCTCCTTGGGAAGCTTTCTGAGAATGGCTGTTACATTTATTCACTAGTCATAAATACTCATGAATGAACCCTTCAGGGGTCAACTGTGAGGTATAATCTATGAGATGATTGGTGGTTGCGGAATAGGGATTACAGTAGTAATCTTGCTGTAGTTTGGAAATGTTAGGGCTAAACTCCCATCCCTCCTGGCTCCTCACAGACTGTTGGGGCTGAATAGGGTTTCTGCAGTTACAAATAGGATGGTACACTCAAGTTTTTGGTCATCTTGTGTAGGCAATGCTGTGATACTTAATTCCTTAAAAATACCTAGATGACAAAAACATTGGAGTTGCATATCTTTCCATGATTCATGCTCAGTGGAATCCAAGCTGTTGTTGTCCAAGGGCTATTGGCCCCATCCAGAAAAAGCCGCAGAAGCTGAACCTGGTATCTGTTTCTCAATGTGTTTTCTTAATTTTCTTGTTTTCTCACAGTGCTTAAGTGACAGAAAACCCACATGATAGTCTTTAAAGATTTAAGAAGCATTTTTATATTTCTGGTTGGAGATTAACCAGTCACCCGCCACTCCAACCAGTCACCCACCACCCTAATGTGATTTGAAAGGTGGTAGAAAATTGTAAAGGATCTTACTCTTAAAATGTCTTGTTCTTACAGCCAGGCGTGGTAGCACATGCCTGTAGTCCCAGCACTCAGAAGGCTGAGGCATGAGGATCAGCACAAGTTTTAGGCTAGCCTGGGTAACATAGTGAGTTCAAGGCCAGTCTACAGAGACTACAAAGAGAACTACAAAGAGAGGCTCTGTCTCAAAAACAACAAAAAAAAATATTCTTACATGTAAGCTTTTATCAGTATTAATTGGTAAACAGTATTATAATAGAAATTGTTGTCGAAAAACAAATTGTTATCTTTGTGCAAGCACTTTAGTTTGAAAATTGCTTTGGGAATTTGTCTCAGTTATCCCTGTTGTGTATGAGGACATTTTAAAAAGCAAAGCAAAGCTGAACGTGGTGGTGCACATCAATAATCCCAGCACTCTGGGAGGCTGAGGGGGAGGAGCACAGATTCAAGACTAGACTGAGCAATGTAGACTTAATGAGACCTATCTCAAAAAACTAAAATAAAAAGGACTGGGGATCAATCCACAGTTGTTTCTAAGTTTGAAGTCTGAATGTTATTAATCTGTGAAATGTATTGTCATTTAGAAAGTTTACTTTAGTAATCCCTAAGCCTCTTTTCTCTCTGCCTTTCTTTTTGCTAATGTATATTTAAAATAGCTAGTGGTTTGTTGAGCAATGTAGAGGTTTTAAGATATGTTGTAATTGTTCTGTCCAAAAGCTTTTTTTTCTGTCCAAAGATTAAGTCTATTCCCTGTTTGCCTTTAATGTGCACCAGGCTTAGTAGCTCTCCTCTGAGGAATAAAATGCACCAGAAGTGATGACATGGTTTCCACAGCCAGTGCCTAAAGGAGATAGCTTCACACTAGTCCCCTCTCTTCCCAAGCCCTTCTATAATTTGGTTTGGAGAAAGCTGGCCATCATGTGGTAACAACTCCAGCTGCCCCTTGGAGAGAGATCTCTCATCAAAAGCCAGCCTGAGTTGCCATGTGAATGAGCCACCTGCAGGCAAATCTGCTCGCCCCAGTCACATCTGCAGATGACAGGTGTCTCCATTTCAGACTTCTGAGATCAAGTGTAGGCATGGGGCTAGCACTCACAGCATTTCTGCCCTTGCAGTCATGTACTTAGGCATGTACATTGTTTAGGCAGGTGTGGCTCTTGAGAAGGAAGAGCTTATTGCTTCCTTCTTGGTGCAGTGAGAAATGATATAGGAAGTAATTCCAGAGATGAAATATGAAATATTTTATCTCCAAACCTGTTAGCTGTCTGATAACGCTGCACTGGTGTTCTCTAAAAATTGAATGAATTCTAGAAACAGTGGAGTTTAAGAGTAGGAAGATATTTATTGTTAGAAAAGGTCTTGAGGGAAAGGAGGGGGATCCAAGTGGGTAGTCTGGAGACCCCACTTTACAGTTTTATTGAGCAGAATCCATGTAGGCCACAACCATGATCAACCAGTAAAGTTTCAAGTACAGTCACTTAGGTAATAGTGGTCCACTGGGGAAACAAGTCCCCTACAAGCGTGGATGGAAAGAACAAAAACTTCTCCTGGGAAGTGGTGGGTACAGAGGTCGTCCTGGTCACCCACCCGGGTGGCTGATGTCTGTCTAGACTTCATTAGGCCCAGTGTTTGTCCTTTGAGGTCTTATGCAGGTCTGGTTATCTTGTCTTTATCTTGAGGCCTGGTCTCTAACAGGTATGTCTCTGGTCGCAGCTGTGGTGTGTTTCACCTTTATCCTGACTCTCGAGGACCTCGCCCTCTCTGCCTATAATATTTCTGTTTAACACTGATATGTACTGTGCCTTTATGAAGTGAAAGAGTCAAGGTAGTAAGCATGGGTAAACATAATTTGTTATTCTACCAAATCAGGTAGTCCAGTTGAAACATTAATCTTTTTGAATAGATATAACCTAAACATACTTAGCGGGTATACTTTTCCCTGGGTGTAAAGACACTGGATAGTCCCATTTCTAGGTCTTTTTCCGTGTTAAAGTGTGTATGTGGGGTGGGGGGTGTCTTTGTTTCTGTCTGCCTGTGTGTGTACCTTAAACCAAAACATTTTATTATTTTTGATATATAGTAGCTTCCTTAAAATTTATGCCAGGATATATTTGGAATAAATGTTAGCTTATTAGTAACACATGGTGCCCCCTAGAAATCTGTAACTTTGTTAGTCTGAAAGTTGGGGTTTTTAAATCTTTAATTTTTGTGAAAAATAAAAGACACTGGTATATAATTTGATTTCAAACATATACAGAAGTCTTTCTTCTAAAATACAGCTAGATCGTTTAACAAATAAACAATTTTGTAGCCTTTTCACAGGAGGAAAGAAAGCACTAGGGTTTTTTTTGTTTCTTGTTTTTTTAGACAAGATCTCACTGTGTAGCCCAGGCTGGCCTCAAACTGCAGTGATCCTCCTGCCTCAGCCTTCCGAGTGCTGGGATCACAGGCATGCGCCACCACGCCCAGCTTGCCCTTGGTTTTCTTATTCCCTTCACGTTTTTTTCCCCTCCAATTTCCTTTCAGTTACAATTATGTAATAAGTAGTTGTAAAGAGCATGTGTGCTTGTGCAAAGCAAAACTAATGTGTGGTGTTCTGTCTAGATTTTCACTTTGCTTGATTAACATGTATTTGAAGAAATACTTCATAGTGTATAATGAAATCTAAGATTTTAAAGGTATGGAACTCAGTTTATTTTCAAATTTGAAGATATAATATGATGAAGAGAATGTAATGTGATGGTAATTAAGTTTGGTGTTTTGCCCTGCTATCATGTAACACTAGCTTTAATCCTTTAGTTTTTCAATTAGAGAAAGTTTAACAGGCATAGATAAGAGATAAAATAGATTAGTGTTATAATAGTGAGGTGTAGAAGACAATGTCAGAAACATCCCAAACCATTTGGTCTGTGCTTAGGAAATTGTGTCTTTTTTTCTGTTTTCTAAGTTTATGGATGATAACCGAATTTTTTTTAAAAAATTGTTTGAAGTAAACTTGTTGGTAAAATGATAATAATAATCATCAGCCTCAGATAATGAGAATCACAGAAGATTCCGCAGAGACTGCAGCAGCGACCTGAGCGATCTGAGCAGAGTACTGGGGCCTTCGAGCCCCTTTCCTTTCTTGTGGGTCCATTATTCTCCCTGAATTCTCCCTGAGAGCTGAAAACAGATCCAAATAATGAGTTCCTTCAACCACAGGCAGGTGCTTTTTCCAAAAGTGTGTAAGCTTATCCAGGAGAATATTACTCCTCGTTTATTTTAGAGATGAAACTGGGGGGATGCGAATGAAAGCCTTAGAAAATCAGACTCTTTTTAGAATCATCTTGAAACTTGAGGCTTTTTAAAGCAGTTCCAAGTTCCGAGTTCACATTCTAGCCCTTGGCTCAAATATTGTTACTTGGAATCAGAAACTACTCCAGGTGTGTGCCTGGGCTGGTACGCTTTCTCCACTCTGCTGCTGTGAAGGTGCTCATTTTTATTGGAAAAAAGTTAATTGTTTTTACCTTACAGAGTATGCATCATGAGACAACAACTTACTTTAAATAAAATTGGGAGCACACATTCCACAGCTAGTAGTTTAGAATTTTTTTTTAAACTTCAGTATGAACAAGAAAAATACTCTGATAAAAGTGTACGTAAGAACATACAGAGTTCACCCAAAAAAGTGTATACATCAGAAAAAGAAAAACTCGCATAAGTCTTGCAATAGTAGATTTATTGAGGCATCATGAGATTAATACACGTTATGGTGGTGTTCAGACTGGTGCCCAGAGCTTCCTGACGTTTATTAGCACAGGAACTGCTGAAGTGTGCATGCGCTTTTGTGGCAGACCATATGTCTCTGCTTTCAGGGATCCTATTTTGGTAGAAGTAATAATAATAACTGCATTTGTTATCTGTAAGGGAGAACCCCCTGTAGCTCTCAGTCCTTCTCAATTAATCCATTTTATCATTTACAGGAAATTCAGATCAGTGGCTCTGAGTCAGCTGGAGCAGACCCTCCTTGCCCATTACAGTCCTCTGTGGCCCGAGTAAACTGCACTTTGACCTCACTCTCAGGTGTCTTGTACCTCACTGATCTAAGACTCTGTATAAAGACGCTGCACCTGAGCTGTTGCAGAGTCACCTTTGGCTTTGTTTCTGTATGTGGTGTTCTTCCCAGGTTTTGCTGAAATCATGTTTCATTCGCACAGACACTGCCGACCAGGTCGACCCAGGACCCCGTTCTGCGGCAGCCTGTCCTGCGAGAGCCTCTGGAATGCATTGTGGGTCAAATCCATCTGCGGTTTGCGCGTGGCCATGGATCTTAAAGTGTCTGTTTCTGGGACTGGCGAGACCCCTTCAGTTGAGTTCATGAGCCAGAAAGAGAACTATTAAAAGATTTTGATGCCCCGGTTAAGTATGGGAATAAGTAAATTGTTACTGATTCTGAAGTGTTTAGCACCAGTAATCAATGCTGTAGGACACAGTACTTAGGGGTTGACAGAGGATGAATTCGCTCAGCCAGTTTATTGCTCACAATCACAGATAACACGGTATTCTCAGGTCTTCCATGTCTCAGAAAATGGTCAAACAAACTGGGCGTGGTGGCGCCCACCTGTGATCCTAGCACTCAGACTCAGGAGGCTGAGGCAGGAGAATTGCTGTGAGTTTGAGGCCAGCCTGAACTACATAGGGAGACCCTGTCTCAAAAACAAAAACAGAACAAGGTAAATATATTGGTTTAGATTAAAGGTTGAAATACTTTTTAAAAGATTTAGGAACATAAGCAAGACAGAAAAACCCCAAATTTTCAGGGTAATGATTGATACATTTAACTAGATTTATTTTAAAATTTTCTCTAGTGCAGAGCATATGGTAAGTTAAAAACATGGTTTTCCCCCCACTGTATGCTTACAACACCGATCACCCCTATGACTTCAGAAGGTGTAAGGGTGACCCCACCACCACCACCACCAAGCAAGCAGTTCTGAAGCAGGCCTCAGCTGGGCTCCTCAGAGGTGGGTCAGCAGGCACTGTCCACCTGGAGTGGTGTCAGACCCCCCTCTCACGTGGTCCCCAAGTCCCCTCTGACTGAGCAGCTGTAAATTGGGGCTGCCGCAGCCCCTCTTCGGGTGCAGTTAATTTGTTTGAGCAGCTTCTAGTGCTCAGGAACAGCTTTTCTGGCTTATTATAAAGGACACCACAAAGGACACCGATGGCGAGGTGCATGGGGCAGACGCGGCGACCCAGAAGCCTTCCAGGCGCTGTGCTTTGGGCTTTATGGAGACATCGTTTTGTAGGCATGATGGGGGCTGGGTGGGAGTAAGATTGGACCGAAAGGATCTGGTCTTCTGACGCTAATCTACTGAGTGAGGAAACCCAGCAAGAGCTTCTGTTTGGATTTTCATTAGCCTCTGTCTGCAGCCCTCCGCCCTCTGGGGTCAGGGGTTGGGCCTCTGGAGTAGATGAAAGGCTTGAATACATTTTTTAATACTATCACAGGCACAGTGGTGCACATCTATAATCCCAGCACTCAGGAGGCTGAGGCAGGAGGATTCCTTGGCATTCAAGGCCAGTCTGGGCTACATAGCAAGACCCCATCTCAAAACAAAACAAAAAAACTATATACTATCAAAAGTAGGTCCTAGAATTTCTGTTCGACCAGCTGCCTGAGAAACAGGTGAGGAAAGATTGAAGTTTCTTTGATCTGCAACAGGAGAAAGAAATTCTAGCTTTCATGGTCTGCATTAGGGGGAGAGAATTTCTAGCCAGGAATCATAGATGCAAACCAGAATACATATAATATCACAATTGCCAGCACATTACCAAAAAATGCTTTCCCTTATACAGTTTTCTGCAAATTGATAAGAAAAAGATAAGCAGTAGAAAACTAGGCTAAATATGTAATTGAGAAGAAAAGGAAATGTTAATGACAACAAAATACAAAAGAATCAGACTTTCTGTGGTTAGGTTTTTCATATCTGCAGCAAGAGTTTAAAAGATCATATCTTTGTGCTAGAAAAGCTATAGAGAAACAGGTCCCTTTATATGTGCATTGCTGTTAAAGACAGGAATTGCTGTCACTAACCTCCCTGGAAAGGTATAGAGCAATATTTATTAAAATTTGAAATGCACATTCTGCCCCCGCCAGTCCTGCTTTTGTGAGTATCTTTCCAGATACAAAGTAATAGCATGTACCAGACTGCATATATTTACTGCGGTATTGTTTTTTGGTGGGAAAAGTGCAGAGGGCCTGGAGTCTTTCTATAGTCTCGTAATCACTTGGGATTTAGCTCCAATCAGAGTCTTCTAACAATTCCAGAACTTAACTAAGAACACTGACTAGTTAAAGGTACAGTGCCTCTCACCACCGCTTATTAGTTGGGTGACCTTGGGCAACTTTCTTAACCTCTGTACACTATTTCACATTTTTTAAATGAGGGTCATAATAGCGTCTTCTTCTGAGCATTGAATGAGATAATGCAGGAAAAAATATTTAGCACAATTCCCAGCACATAAAATAATTGGAAATTTTAATTGCAGCTAATTATTATCATAACTATTACATTGCTGATATTGTTACAGGACAAGAAGTCTGTTGTCTTCATCATGTTTTTTGTTCTTGGTGTTTACTGTCAAGGCTATCACATAGTCGATTTTGAGTAGATGTTGTGGCATGCAGTATTCTAGTATCCATGATACTCTTAATTAAATTTGTCAGTGGGGAAAGGATGTTATTTGGAATCACATGAGTAGGGTCCTAATCCTGGCTTCACCGGGTCTCACTTATAGATGCACTGTCTATCTTGAAGGAGTTACCATGTGCATTCATGATATTTGCTGCAGTGGATCCCACTACATCCTCAGTACTCAATACATGGCAGCCATAATTACAGGGCCTGAGAACGAAAGGTTGGAATGGTGGGCCTGCTGAGAGGGTTTGTAAAAACTGTCAGTCTGGTAAAGTCTAACTCAGGGTTACAGAGGGCAAACAGCCCTCAGCAAAAGAGCTCTTTAATAATTGCCATGGGTTTCGATCCCCAGTACCAAAAAACAAACAAACAAAAAAAACAAATAATTGCTGTGGTTTAGAAATTTTTGAGAAAGTCCTCACTGGATGAATATACAAAGTATGCTTAGCGAACACTGAATTTTAACATATTGCTAAGGCACTGGCCGATCCCTAGGGATATAAACTCTTGGGTGTTGTTACTGATTTCGGAGTATTGTCTGCAGCCTGTGCTACCTATCCAGAGCATACAAGGCTAAGGGCGGGCAGCTAATGTCATAATTACTGCCATTGTTGTCATAAATATTTATGGAGCTTATGTATCAGGCACTTGACATGCAAGATCTTAGTCTTCATGGTACCTCCATGAGGTAAATCCATTAATATCCCCATATCGAAGATGGGAAGCCAAGGCTTAAAAAGATAGTTATTTGACCAGCGTACCACACCAACATGAAGTGGTAGACCTGGAATTTGAACCCAGGTCTTCCCACTTTAGGCTATGATGTGTAAGGGAACGAGAAAAATCTTTCTCTAACCTCTTAGAGTCAGTAACTGGGGCCTGCTGGTTAAACTGCCAAAAGCTAATAGGAAAAAGGTTTAGTTAGTATGCACATGGGGCCTCACGGAAAATAAGTGAAAAACCTCAAAGAATTAGTTAGGCCTGAGCTTATACACCACTTTGATAAAAGGCATGAATTGTAGAGAAGTAACAAGACAAAGGAAAAGAGGCTTGGGCTTCTAGGGCACTGAATTGCCAGAAAGTAAACATATGGGGGAAACAAACGAATGAGGTCATTTTAGCAAAGGTTATTCATACAGACTCATCTGTTTTTTGTTTTGTTTTGGAACCGGGGATTGAACTCGGGACCTTGTGCTTGTGAGGTAGTTGGCAGAACCACTATGCTAAATCCCCAGTCCTCATATAAAGACTCATCTGTATGACTGGTGCTGACAATTCCTCTTCCATGACAGGTTTTTCTTCTACCATAGTATGGATGAGGGAGATTTCGGGGAGCTCTCTTCACCAAGGAGGATGTTTGCTCTGCTGTTAGGCAAAAAGGGAGATGGTCAGAGAGTTCCTCCTGTGTCATTTTCTTAATTTCCCTCAGCTCAAAATAACTCTGAAGACAAAGTGGCATATTTAGGGTGCCATGTTCTGATCCTCATCTTGGGAAGAGTGCCCTACTCTGAGATCACAAAGGCCTAAATTTAAATGTCCTTATTTATGAGTTGCATGATCTTGGGCGAGTATGTGTATCTACACAGTGGGAATGGTAACAGTACTGAGCTCCTGGACTTGTTTGTAGCAGTGAATGGAGTAGTGTATGTAGCGTGCTTAGTGCAGTCATACCAAATGCCCAAGGAGCTGGAAGAGAGTCACTGCTGATGCACTGCTGTAAGGTCTGTGCCGGAAGTCTGTGAAGAGCAGAGGTGACCAGTAATGTTCGTCATCCCAGGGAGATGCTGGCAGTTTAAATCTTAAAGTCATCCTTTGTGGTCCATCCAGTTAGTAAGTCTTTATTATTCTTTTTTGAACTGAAAGGATTCACCCAACTGTTAGAATTATCTTACATTTCCTACCAGCATTCATTCAGAAAATTCATTGTGTCATGAATGCCAGAAATTTCTTAGCAATACTGGATAAGAATGGGTGTTCTTTCTGGATGATCAGATTTCTCCTTCCTGCTCTTTTCTTTTATTCTGTCTCTACCCTCACCTGCTTACCCGTGCTCAGGCTGTGCCACACTCCTGAAAGTCTTATAGTAAAGATTGTGAAACAGCTCTCTCCTGCTCGCTCTCTCTGATTGTTTGTTTGTTTGTTTGTTTGTTTTTAACCTCCTCTCTGAAACCTCTTGAGGTGATCAGGCCATTTTCTGCACTGTTAACCCCTCTCTTCATTCACACGCGTCCCTTTCAAAGCCTTTTGTTTCCCTCTTTTTCCCTGTGCCCTGCCCTGACCCATCTGTCTGCCCCTGGCTTATTGTGCTCTTCCGAGCATGGTCTTCCCTCTGCCTCTCCACCAGGATCATGTCTCCTTGCCTCTCATTCTTTGCACCTGTTTAAACCCTTATGTGTAATCACTTTACAACCCTTTGCAGACCTTTACTTTTGTCCATTATATCTCTGTAAACGTTTTAACAAATTGTCACTGTTAGATGTACAGTGGCGCCTCAGTTCCCAAACTTTATTCCAGAGTTCTGGCAAAGATGGCCACCATAGTGTTCATCACCTGATGCAGAATTCAAAAACAAAAGCAAAATTATGCCAGACACTTCTGTTTGCCCACCAAATTATTCACAAACAAAATGTTTGTGAACTGCGATACTATTGTATAATGCTGTTAAAAAATACCTTTATATATTTAAATATATGTTTTAAAGTACTTAAAACACGTGAGACCCATGTTCCTATGCTGTTGGATATTAATTACCTAGGGCTCTTTAATATAGCCAATCACACTTGCAGAGGAAACAATGGGTGATGTTTTGGAGTCTGTGCCACATATGGCAGGCACTATTTTAAGCACTGTACCTTTAATTTACAAGATTTCTACTCATGGGATTATTACTATTAATTATTATTACCTCAAAATAAACTTTATAGTGTAAAATGTGTATCTACACTAGACAATTTAGATGCGACATCACTATATAGATGTATGTGTGTGTATATATGTAGGATCCATGGTGGTTCTATACATATACATACATACATAGAATAGAAGGACAATTTTTGTTACAGGGCTAACAAAGCATATAGGGCCCTTGACTTAGCCTGTCGTTGCTTATCCAGACACCATGTTTCGTGTTTCATCCCCTTAGTAAGCGTGTTTCCTGCTGAGTTCTGGTGAGGGTGATACACGAGTTACAGATGGCATTTGGTTTGGAGAAAACGATGACACACGCCAGCGTCCCTCCCATGGGCTCGCCTCTGCTCTAGCCCTTAGCTAAGTCAGTCTCAGTTGTTTAGTGAGTCCTTCCTCCATACACCAGCCTCTAAAGATCTTTCTGACCTCGGCCCGAGGCTCCATTTCAGGATGATGGCCCTGTCGGGGCAGGAAGGGAAGAGACTGGAATGGAATGGAGGAGGAGGGACAGGAGATTGGGGACCATCCTGTAATGTTTTATTTCTTAAGCAGGGTGGTGAATGTATGGGTATTCTTCCACTCTAAACATTTGTATATATTTGACTTGAAGTGTAGCTTCACACAGACAAACAGACCCCACATGCTAAGGTTTACTACTGAGGGTTTTTCCTTGGAAACATTTGGCATGAGCATCTTTTTTTCACTGGCCTCCAAAAGCTGAAAAGAGCCAGGTGTGGTGGCACATGCCTGCAATCCCAGCACTCAGGAGGCTCAGGCAAGAGGATTGCCATGAGGTCAAGGCCAGCATGGGCTACATGTCGAGTTCAGAGCCAGCCTGAACTACATGGTGAAACCTTGTCTCAAAAAAAAAAAAACAGAAAAAAAGGCCAAAAGGAGTTAACTGAGGTGATCTTCTCAGCAGTGAGGGCGCTTCTTCACCTAGACCGAAGGTAGCCAGGATTGCTGCAGCAGATGAGGGAGAGGCAATACGTGCATCCTGTCTGTTAGCTGACATAGCCTTTCTTCTGTGTTTTTTGAGCCACTTCTGCAAGGACCTGAGCAGTAACCAGGACTGCACTTTATTTTTTTAACATCTCAGCCAGAAATCCTGACGGCCATACAGGCATCATGAATGTTTAATGTGGCAATGATTAGAAGGCTGCTGAATACTGACTGGACTCCTGTGGCACTTCCTACCTGGCTTTCCCAGTCCAGACTCATGTGCCCTATTTCATGAGTGCCCATTGCTCCCAGATTTCCAAAGGGAATACAGTGGACCCTTGACTTATGAACTCAGTTTGTTCCCAAGAACTGGTTTTAACTCAAGGTGGTCAATTGAAGGCTCAGGCTCCTCTACACAGCCTTCAGAGTCTCTCTCCTGTTTACAGGCAGATCTCAGTGTCCTTAGAGAGACACTGGCCCAGGATTTCTCAGCTAACCTCATGCAGGAATGGATGTAGTAATGTTCCTTCCAGAACTCTTTAAGGGTTAAATCTGTATCCGAGACCATCTGGAAGCACAACTGGCTGGCCTTTGGGTTGTAACTCAACACTTTGGTTGTAAGTTAAAACTAAAGTTCCAGTCGTAACTCGAGTTGTTCATATGTCAAACCAGTTGTAACTCAAGGGTCTGCTGTACTTCTTAACTTTCTGAAAAGGAATTCTCTGAATCCAACTCAGATATTCACTGAGCCCTAGCTTTCTAAGTCTAGCTCGTTGGGAAATCTGCAGTGGTGTGTGTTGCAGAAGGTATCCCTTCTCTGTTGGCCTGGTGGCAGGGAGAGATGTATACATACACAAATATGATTGGATGTGGAAGATACTGCAGTAGAAGTTCAAAGGATTATGGGCAAGGGAAGATTATGTCTTACTAAGAAAGGCTTGGTAAATAAAGGACTGATGTTTGCATTAAGCCTTCAAGGGCATGGCTTTGGTAGATGCTTATTTGTTCATTTATTCATGTAGTAAACCCTGTACATCTCCTGTGAGGCTCCGCACATATGCATGGTTCTCTGTATACCATGTCAGAGGACAGGGAGGGTAGAGTTGAATACTGGCATCCGAACTGCTTGCACATGGAAGTAGCACCTGTCCCCTCCGCTCACACTGCTAGTACAAGCCATTTGCCACGCCTTACTTCAAGAGTACAGGGAAGTTCAGTACTGCTTTCCATAAACCCAAAAGGATTGGGAACCTGGATGTCTATGATCAGTGGTAATGACAGCTACAGAAGTTCAAAAATCTGTTGTACAATTTAACAGGGTCACACTGGTGCTTTGTCAGTAACAGAGCAACAACAGCAACAGAGAAATAAGAGGCAACAGGCATGGTGGCACACCCCTGTAATCCCAACATTCAGGAGGCTGAGGCAGGAAGATCACCTCGAGGTCCAAGCCAGCTTGGGCTACATAATGAGACGTTGTTCCTAAAACAATAACAACAACAATAGTAATTTAAAAAGAGGCCAGAGGCAAGAGATGATGCTGGGTAAAGTTGTTAGCATGGGGATGTAAGAAGTTGTCAAATTGAGGATTTTTTTTTTTTTTTGGTACTGGGGATCGAACTCGGGTCCTTGCACCTGCAAGGCAAGCGTCGGAACCACTGAGCTAAATCCCCGGCCCTTGAGGATGTATTTTAAAAGAGGCAACAGGATTTGCCAATGGACTGTATCTGGGTTATGGAAAAAAAAAGTAATATGATTTGATGAGTTTGATATGACAACTTTTAAGAATGTTATTTGCCTTTGACTAAGATAAGGCACTGGAGAAAAGGATGGTTGTGAAGATCAGGTGTATTTCAGACATGTGAAGATTAAACGTGGTTATCGGCCATCAGATTGGAGACATTGCAGAGGCAGTTGGTTATACATGGCTGTATTTTAGGGGTGGGCCTGGACTAGGGATATCTGTTTGTGAGTTGTTAGCTAATAAAGAGTATTTAAAGCCTTAAGTCAGGCATAGTAGAGCATACCTATAATCCCAGCACTTGGGAGGCTGAGGCAGGGGGATCGACAAGAGTTCAAGGCCAGCCTGAACTACATAGCAAGACCCAGCCTCCAAAATAGTCAATGTACACTACACTGCACTATGTGAAATCCAAGGGGGTATGCACAGATGGTGAGAAGTAAAGTCCCAGAGACGGACTGCAGCATGGTGAGATTAGACAGTGGAGGAGAGCAGCCATGGAGGAGGAGGACAGTGAACCGAGTGTGATGTCCTGGGAGCCAAGAGAAGAAAGCGCTTCACGGAGCTGGGGGTTGTACAGAGCATTGGCTCTGCTGAGAAGTTTTTATGTAGAAAGAAGAAACCTCTTTTAAGAGAAAGAATAGTCAAGTGTGGTGGTGCACACCTGTAATCCGACACTCAGGAGGCTAAAGCAGGAGGATTTCCACAAGATGAGAGAATGAGAATGTTCTGTACATCACTAAGCACCTTCCGGCTGTGTTCAACAACCGATATGGTTTCTCTCTCCTGTCAAGTTTCTAGAGATCAGTTATTCAAAATAACTCTTTACTGTAGCAAATAAAACTCATATTCCTTTTCTTCTTTTTTAGACCATGTACAAAATGAAGAAAACTATGCACAAGTTCTTGATAAGTTTGGGAGTAATTTTTTAAGTCGAGACAACCCCGATCTTGGCACTGCTTTTGTCAAGTTTTCTACTCTCACAAAGGAACTGTCCACATTGCTGAAAAATCTGGTAAGCCATTCCATAATTAATGGAAGGATTAAACTTATACAGCAAACGCTACATTGCCAAAAACAGTGGCATAAATGTGTTCGGAGAGGAAGGGTTCTGAGGGGGATTCATGGTAATGTGTCTTTTACTATAATAGTTTGGGGTGGTTTCTGTCGTTGTTGTTTTTAAATTTCAAGTATATGGGGGCTGGGAGGTCAGTGTCTTAGAGCGAGCAAAGACAAAGACACTCCGAGCTTGCCACTATTTATTGGGCTCATAGGGAGTAACAGATGACTCTGAGGACAGCCATAATCCTAAATTGACAAGGATCTTACAGTCAGGAATTATCAGATAACCCCGGTGGTGGCATTCCTGGGACCATGAGGAGCTGATGCTGATGAGGATGTGAGATGAGCAAAGCAGTCTTACAACACTAGGTGGGATGAGTTACCTTGATAAGGAGTTTGTCCCTCCCTGGGTGAAACTCTTCTCTTTTTGTATTACTACTGGGTTCTCCAAGAACCAGGATGTCTTCAGCTGTTATAATCCTGCCCTTGAGCATCACAGCATCTCAGGATCATTGAGGCCTCAGCTGTGGCCAGAGGCAAAATGCAGTTATGTTTTTGCATGCTATAGCTGGCCCACAGGCAAGAGGACTAGGCCTCTGACAACCCTAATCATAATTTAATTGTGAAATGATTTTTCTCAAAAATTATGTAGAATGGCTCCCAACAGATCCTCCTTTCTGTTTTATGTGTAGTTTTAGGAGAAAGCAAGCATGCCCAACAATGGCTTGTCCCTGTGGGTTATGAGGACCTATAATGTGCTTAACTGGCTTAGCTATCCTTAATAAGTTCCTTTTTAAAGGGCCATCCCCAACTGCAGTTTCATCTGACTGCTTTGAACTGAGAAGGGTTGATGTAGGGAAGACTGCAGTTAGGGAACCCTTTTTAGGGAGCTAATTTAATAGCCCTTAAATAAAGATCATGTTGTAATTTAGCAATTATACACTCTTTATAAAGTCAGTCTGGTGAGTTTTGGTAAAAATGTGTAGCACATTTGTTGTTGATATCTATATGATCACTTGGAGTTTGGCAACCTATAGGCAAGAATAAACAAATTTTTTAAAAGAAATTAGAGCATGTATAGTCAAAAGTATAAGCACTAAATTAAAAAGGCAGTTTGAGGGAAGAGACATGTTTAGAAACTGTTTTTTAAGGGACCAAAATAGTGATTATAACTTGTTGACTCGTAGGCCTTCCACTAATGGGTATTATCTGTTAGTCTGGTATTTTGTCATAATTTCTTTTAATTTTAGCTGTAAAAAAATTTAAAATTTAATTATTTTTAAAACATTTTTAGCTAAAAAATTTAGAAACTCTTACTGAGCTCATATAAATTTTACCATGGTTTTATCTAATGACCCATAACAGTGGTTAGCCACCGATGCATTTGAAAACTGCCAGGAGGGGTCAGCAGTTGGAGCCTTTTTTTTAAATTGCACTTTATATTACTATGGTCTTGATTTTACATATCTTTTAGTTATGCTTTTCTCCTGGGTGTTCAGAACCAAGTTACGATGAGACCTATGTTAAATAAAATCAACCTCTTGCTGTCTGTCCAGGTCAGTTAAGTCTCCTCAGGCGTTATCTGGGAGCCATCCGCAGATCCCCTCAGCTCCTGTCAGTGTCAGCTGTCGGGATGGGGCCCAGCCTCGCTTGACCATGTGCTTTCTGTGAAAGCGTGGGAGATTTTTCCCTCCAGGCGACGTTCCTTTGGCACACTGAGTTGTTGGTTCTTACTGTTTTGGTGCCCAGCAATCTCCTTGCTCAGGAGGTTGGGTGACTGGTGTGAGTGACTGAGCAAAATTGTAGGATCTCGTAGAAAAGGTTCTCTCGTGTCCTGTTTTTTTTTTGCTGTTGACCTTGGAGGTCCAGGGCCAAAATATTGGCTGTCTTCTTATCCCAGTTGCCTTTCTAGTTCTGGTCTCTAAACTTTAGTTGTTGAATACCCAGAAGAGAAGATCAATAACATTAGCATTGCAATGGGAGTAGTGAATTTAATCATTATGATTTTACCTGGATAGCAAGTGTTTGGGAATATAAAATATAGTTAGAGGACTGTTATTTTTATCAATCATAGTTGTTCTAGTAGTTGAATTCCTGTAGAATGTTAACAGAAAAATACCTTTAAATCAAGAACCACACATAATGTTGTAGCATGACAATCATGATACTATCTTTGTAACTCACTTAAATGTGCATCTTAGTGAAAATAGCCACTGTTAAATGTACTCATTCCCCTCCAAAAGCACAAACACAAAAACACTCTTACCTAAGTTGTTATCTTTTGATAGGATGTCATCTAAGGAAAATATATAGGCCTATAAATATGTACCTGTTATCATAAATAGCTGGGGCATAAGAGAAAGGCATATACTTGAATCAAAAGGAGGTTATTATCATAAACAGTGTGTTGGAAGAGCTGTACAGTCAGAAGGCATGAATACATTTTGTATACCAGAAAAGTAGCAATAATAAATATCACAATTATATGAAACCTTATGCCCTTTAATGTAGTTTAGTACCCAAAGCATCTTTTTAATAAAACCTTGTTGATTTTCCTACAGAAAATTTTGAAGATGACCAGTGTAAACATTTCACAATAACATATTTAGAACTTAACCCTTTAATGATAACCAGTGTAAACATTTTATAATAACATACTTAAGCAATGTTTATTGAGTGTCTCTCATCAGGCTGTGAAAATTACTGGGCCTTCCATTAGTAAACGAAGACTAGAGTAAGTATTTTTGAGGCAGCTGTTCCTTTATTCATGAACAGGAGTCCCATTTAGCAGTCTCCCCAAACCTAAGGGTCTCTATTTAATTACTTTGACAATTCTTTTTTAATACCCTGTAAAAACCAGATTGTAACAATTAATACATTATTTATAACCAATAAAAATTTTTGAGTTATTGTATGCAGACAACAGTATGCATTACATTTGTAAAATTAATCTTGACATCATTTTGATCAGCTAGCAACCTGGGGGGAAGGTCATGCCTTTAACCTTAATAACATTTATCTATAAGCCAATTTAAATTATAGGCAAATACCTTTCTTTCCCTTTCACTCTGGACACCTTCTGAGTTTGCCTGCAGAGTCCTCTCGCCACGGAACACACCATGTGTCCTTTCCTCGGCTCCAGTGCAGTTTCCCTCAGGCCTGCCGTTGATTTAGTCTTGCACAGTAAATCAGCTAATCTGAAAGAAAATAAATGTCCAATAGAGAAATATTTCTTCTTTTCAAAAACTTGAGAAAGAATGAATTTGAATATAGGGCCTAGTGTTCCTCTGCTGTGGAGCTTAACAGCCTGTGAATCTTGAGTAAATCTTAGACCGTGTGCTTCTCTTCTGTTCAGAAGAGAACCTTGGCATTTCCTCTTCCGTCCAGGAATTACCTGCCTTTTTGCTGGCGGCGTTGCCCAGTGGGTGGTGTGAAGAAAGGAAGTGAAGGAGACTCTGACAACCCACTTTGGTAATAACTGCAGAAGACTCACTCAGGGAAGTTCTCTTTTCCCTGAGGTGGGGATTTTTACAGGGATATCTTGCCCTTTTTGTTTCCAAAAAACCGAATGTATGTATCTGGCCTAAGTCCAGAGTTGTCTCTAAGGTTCCTGCACCTCTCGCTTTGCACTGTGCTGCATCACACATTGCTCCTCAGCTGTGCACACGTGTTTATGCACACAGCTCACTCACGCAGAAACTCCCTGTCTGCGTGCTTAGTCAACATATTTGTTTATTTCCATGTAAAAGCTATCAATTTTTTTTTCCTGAGACAGGGCCTTGTTATGTAGTTCAGGCTGCCCTCGAACCCCTGGCAGTCCCCCTGCCTCAGCCTCCTGCATACTGGTTCTGTAGGCATGCGTCACCACACCTCAGAACACAACAGATACTCATTGAACACCTTTAATGAGCCCAGCAGTGTGATGGGTGCTTTATGTGGATTAATTTAATACATTATAAAAGTCCTATACTGTTAATACCATTAGTCCAGATGAGGTTGCCGGGGCACCCTGGGATGATGTACTTGTTCGTTTACACTGTTGGCAAGTAGACTGGGGCCCGACATTCTGTCTTGACTCTGTAAGCACTCCATACATACTACCTCTGTCACCGTAGGCCTCTGGTCCATGTTTCCTGAGCTAAAAGAAATACTGAGCCTAGCTATTCCACTGGGCATATTCCACGGCGCAGCCTGTTTTCCACATCCAATCCCCTTTCCAGAGAAAGTTTAAGGAAGCTCTAAAAGAAGTTGCTGGAAGAGCTATTTCATTTCATTAAGAACATGCAAACATTTTCCCCATAACGGTGGCAGTGCCGTTCCTGATGCGGGAGTAGGCAGGAGAATCATTCCTTACTGCACTTTGGTTACAAAGGGACTGTTATTCTGACTGAGTAAAAGGTAATCGTGGGAGTTTGCACCACCTGACAACAGCCAGCAGCTTGCTGCTTCCCTCCTTATGCTTGCCCAGGAAAGAGTAAACCACAGAGATAGATGGGGCACACCTGTGAGCAGAGCGCCCAGAGGAAGCCACTGGGTGGGGTCCCCAGCTGAAGCGGTGGTCTAGAGGAGCGCCCACCCTGCCCCACAGGAGCGAGTCTTCCTCAGAGGTTTCTAACCTAGTGTCTGAGGTGGGTGAAGGCTGGAAGCAGTGAGCAGTGATTGACAGATGAACTGTAGAGCATCAGGTCAGAGAAAGTACTTGAATATCATTTAGACTTCTGAAACTATCCTCAGTTTAGCTGGCAAGCGTCTGTGATATTCTGGGGTCTGTGCTCGATACCAAAACATTTCATAATGTGTTACTTCCAAGGGCATTTTAGTAGTTTAACACCAAACGTCTTATGAAGGAAAAGGAGAGGGTGGATTTGGGGGCCACGTCTTGTACTAGCTTTCTGCTTTGGGCTGCCCTCTTTATTATTCAGGTCCTTTATAAGCAATTACAAGTGTAGTGTGTTCAGGAGTTTCTACCAGGGTGGTTCTGAAAAGCACAACACACTAAGTGATGCTGACTGCCCCAGCCACCACTCATGCTTGTGGGCTTTTCTTTCCCCTCAGCTTTCAGCGATGATGAAAGGTACAGTGATTATTAGGACATTTTGTGGAAACTGCCAAGAGCTGCAATGATGTTGACGTGGGCGTTACATCAGGCTGAGGGTGTTGTTAGCTAACCAGCCTCTACCTTAGTGATGTCGGGAAGGGACAAAGAAGCTGGCAGTCACCATTCCTCTGTGAGCTCCTGCCACAGTTAGTGCCAAAGTCAGTTTAAAGTAACTGGCTTTCTTACTCCCCCTTTCCCCTAAGTCACAGAAAATGGTTCTTATAAAAAGTTGTCCTGCCTCATAATGCAGGGTCCAAGAGCTATGGAGTGTAGGTAGTGGGAGGAAATGGGCTTTTGGTCTCCATCCAAGCTGGAATTCCAGCTCCCTGTTTATAAGCTTCACAGCCTGGGGCCAATCATTTTATCACTTTAATGCTAATTCCCTTATCTGTAAAGAAAAGAACTAATAATACCATGTATTTCTTAGTGGCAGGACTTTACTGAGATCACAGAAATAAATCACTAAGCACAGTATCTGACACATGGAATTTGCTTAACAAACGAAAGCTTCCATTATTTACGCATTCTCTCATTTGTTCTTTAGGGTAACTCCCTGTGTAAACGCAAGTATCAGTGACCATATCCCATTTTACAAATAAATGCACCAAATTTCTAAAACAATAGTATATCTGGGAAGAGATGGAGCTAGGGCTTGAGCTAAGAATCTGCCACAGATCACATGCTGGCTCACAGCGCTGCTCCACCAGTGACAGAACACCCACAGGACTGGGGGTGCCTGACCCGATGATGGAGAGCTGTACTAAGACTTCTTGTGTGTTTAGTTTGCAGACTGTTTTTTTGGTCTGTTCTTGTCTTTTGGTTTCCCTCATCAGAATCACTGCACACTGAACAGAGTAAGAGTATATGGAAGTAGTTCTCAAACTTGGTTCTTAGGGCCCCAGTTTTAAAAGTGAGTTTTTGTTTATGTGGACTATTTCTGTCCATATTTTACTTCCTTAGAAGTTAGAACCAAGGAATTTTTAATGTATTAATTTACTTTAAACTTATTTTAATATCTTGAATAGCCTATTTTTTTTTCTTTTTTTTTTCAGGGGATCGAACTTGGGTCCTTGCGCTTGTGCAGCAGGCTGCAAAACCACTGAGCTAAATCCCTGGCCCGAATAACCTACTTTTTAAGGAAATGACTTTTCCCATCCACCCCCTCAATGAGAAGGGTGGCACTGTTTATGTATTTGCAAATCTCTTTAAAGATGGTTTGATAAAGGTAGCTGGATCCTCACACATGCTTCTGTTACCATGGGTGACAGGGTCCCAGGACAGACTTCCAGTTCTTATGCATGAGGAACAAAGAATTGGACATGGCACAATGGTAAGGAAAAAGCAGCTAGGTTTAATGAAGTTTAACATGTTCATGACGGAGCTGTGATTCATGTCTCACTGCCTGGTGGCTCTGATTTGAATTCCATAGGTTGATGTTAAATAGCTAATCACCAGTGTGGTTCAAGCCTTCCTGATGGGACAGCTATGCGTGTACCCCTGGTGGTTCAAGCTGACAAGAATGTGTTAAAAGGCAAAGGTTGAGCCAGGGATTTAGCTCAGTGGTTCCACCACCTGCCTCGCAAGTGGAAGGACCCAAGTTCGATCCCTGGTACCAAAAAAAAGGGCAAAGGTTCGCCCAGAGTAAGTGAGCTCAGGCCAGAGGAAAGGAAAGCAGCACATAACTCGGAATGGGTTGGGTCTAAGAATTTAGAATGTGCACTAGACCTAGGGCATGTCCCATTGGGTCTTTCAGAGCAAGATTGACAGCATGCCCAGTCATGTTAGCTATGGCTACTGAGCATGTCCTTCCCTGTAATTCACTCAGTAACAATTGGATGTATGAGATGCAGTCTGGAGTATGAACCTTTAATGAGCTCCAAGTGAAGAAATGTCGCTGTAGGTCACGTTAGCAGTTCACGTCAGCAGGTCTAACACACAATGCATCCTGGTTTGGGATTTCAGAATTTTTCAGAGTCTTTGTTATTCTTATCTCTGCATCTAGGTAGTGGGCTATGGGGACAAAAGTCAGGAGGGTTGGCCCTTGGGTGGTGCCTAGGTTCAGGGGAGTGGAAGGGAGTGGTCCCATAGTCCCAGTTGTACTGACTGTTTTACCTCTGTATTCATGTTGCTGCAGTGTTTTGTTTTGGTTTAGTTAGATGAAGAGCATAGCCACCTATGCTTTGTACTGAGAAGAGACGTGTAAATTGTGGATATTCATCTTTAATACTACATCAGAATTTGACAAGTGATAGTTTCCTAAAAGTTAGCCATACATGTAAATAATTCTTAGAACTATATGCACTTTAACTATTTGGAAACTGTCAAGTTCGTGGTGGCATACCTTTTCCAGAATTTTAACTTTCTCTGAAAGTTCACATTTTATCATTAGCAATAAATATTGACAGTTGTTTACCTTGAAGCGACCAGCCTAACTCATAGATTTAGAAGAAAATTGGTCGATACCCAAGTCTGAATAACCAGTTTGCTAGTCATTCTTTCAAGGAAAAGAAAACATGTTTGTGTTCAGCTTTTTTGTTACCACAGTGCAACAGAATAGCAGTTTTGGAAGTTTTAGTCAGTGATGGGTTTGTCTCATTGTTTTGGACCTGTATTACATCATGACAGGAGTATGTGGCAAACAAAACTTCACCACATGGCCCGGAAGCAGGGGAAAGGCAGGGAGGATCCCCACAGTTCCCTACAAGAGCACACCCTTCAGGTTCCCTTCAAGCCCTGTAATGACTTCAGGCAGTGGTGGTGAACCTGTGGCACGCAGCTGACTGTTCAGGTTTACTTTCAGTGTTGGCACTGTGCGAGAAGTAAGTGGGCTTGGGTTGCAGTTTGTCTCGGCCTCTAAAAGGCTTGCTGTCACTGCTCTGTAGTCTTGGTTTGGTGGGTCGGAGAGGATGGCCTGGCCCACAGTAAGGTCATCGTCAGGGAAAACCTCTTGTACAGGTGAAAGGTGGCTCACAGGTGAAAGAGGACAGTTTTCAAGTAAAAACGGAATAGAGGAACCCATTTATAGGTGAAAGGGAGTTAGGGAGAGGGGCTTGTTTTGGGAGGAGAAAAAGAAAAAAATACTTTTAACTGGGCTTGTATCCTTGAAACTGCAGTTTTCATTTTTAAACTTATGATTTTCCTTTTCTCTTGTTTACCTATCTTTATTTCTTCTATTCTACCTTAGTTCTGTCAACTTGCTGTAGTGATACAGGGATAATGTAACTCCCAACCTGCTAGATGTCAGATATGCCAAGTTCATGTTTCCCAAAATCGAACAA